TACAGCCATGTCTTTCCTGGACAGACTCATCACATACTGCTTTTTTAAAATCCAGTATTCTTTCACATGAAATATTTAATATTTTATGCTGACTTGTTCCCAGATTTTTGGTCAGACATTCCAGATGTGTCCCGAGATGCTGTTTACATGAGACGGACATTTAAGTTAGTAGATTGGTGTGCTTTAACAAAGCAGATAATCCTCATTCAATAAACTGCAGATTTTAATAACCAAAAACTGGGCTGCTCACCTCTCTATAAGAAAGATTTCTGCCAACAGACTGCCTTTGAACTTGAACTGCAAATTTTCTTTCATTGGTGGCCCATACCATCTGATTTGGGGGTTTTACCCAGCCTCCAACCTCCAAAACTGTGTGAACAAATTTCTTAAAATAACCCCTCCCCCCATCCCACACCCTTCTGCTCATTCCATTTCTCTGGTGACCAATGCGTATAAACCACGCTAGGTGAGAAACTGTATCTCTTCACTGGTTTGTTCTGAGGCATCTATTAGACAATGCCAAAGTTATTCAACAATACATTTGCTTACTTAATACTCTTTTCAGTAGTCTGTACAATCAAGATTTGTTTGACTTTAAACTTCTTTTATTAAGAAAATGGAAGGTGGTGCTGGAGAGATGGCTCTGCAGTTAAGAACAGTGGCTACACTTGGAGAAGATCTGGGTTCAGTTCACAGCACCCAGGTGTCCCCTAATAATTGTCTGTAACTCCAATTCCAGGAGATTTGATGCCCCCTGTTGGTCTCCATGGACATTGCATACATATAGTAGACTTACACAGATGCAGACCAAACTCATATATAATAAATAAATAAATAATAATAACAAAGATGACCAGTTTTAAAATAATTTTATTCTTCATTTTTTTCCCACTTGATTGTCATTTGCTGTTGTTTTTATCTACTTTTCCTACTTTAACTCTTTTTCTATTCTTTTCGTCTTCTCTGAAAAAATGAACACTCAGACCATTTTTCTGGGTTTCCTGCCCTATTATGGTTTAAATGCCCTGGTTTCTGCTAAAATAGTTTGGATTGAATCTTTGCATTCTACAAAAATGAGTGAATGCAAAAAATTTGTCTTTAATGCAAACTTTGCAGTGTACTGCTTCCTTTACTCCGTGAAAGAGTCCGCTTGCTCTCCAGACCCATCTTTTTCTTCCCCATGCCTGAAATAATTTTTTGGCACTGACCTAAGTGAGGAATATTTCTAGAAATTCAACTCTATAAAGTAGGTGTGGTTGAACCTGAAATGAGGTTGGTCTGGTATATCTTTTAAAGAGTCACTTCTCTTTACTGATCTCTACTCTAGGTTTCACATTTCTCAAATTCTGAGTAGAATTTGGACAATGTTTCTGTGTTCTCAGTACCAGGAAACAGCGACCTCATGCATACTAGAAAAATGTTCTACCATTGAGTTATATCTCAACTCCAACCCATTTAAAAACTTCTTTTTACTAATTGAGATGCTCTCATTAAGTTGCCCAGGCTGCCCCTGAATTCAATCACTGGCCCAGCAGAACTTGAACCTCAGGTGCTCTTGCCTCGGCCTCCAGAGTAGCTTGGATTTCAGACCTATGCCACCAGGCCCACCTGGATAATAAGTTTTTATTTCCAATCTAGGGCTTCTAGGCTTAACCAAAGTGAAGTAGGGAGAACGTTTCTCGTAGGGAGCTCTAAAAGGCAGACTATATACATATTTTCCAGAAAATGTGCTGATAGAAACAGTCTGTAAATGTAGGGTATGCTTTTTTCCTGTTTACTTGACCATTTAAACCAGATACTGTGGATCCTCCATCAATTTCTTCTGGATATTGGTTAAAATGTGCACACTGAAGACAGTGTGTAGATTCACATGCACACACATATATATGTAACTGGACATGAACCTGAGTCCTTTAGATGTCTCAGTTTGGGCTAGCCACATGACTATAAATGCCCTATTTTTGAGTTTCAGTCTGTGTCACTTTCGTGTTTGTACTGAGAAACAAGAATTGAGCAAAAAGGCAACTTTGACTCACCTTTAACTTTATTATTCACACCAAAAAAGGGGCTGGTGATAAAAATAATTCACTCCTATTCAGTTTGGTTGTTCAGATTCAGTTTTGATTACTTGTTGCAAGTAGTTATTTGTTAAGCACCTCTAGATACTGAGATATTTTTCCTGATTTGAGAATTGTGTGTGTGTGTGTGCGTGTGTGTTAGTGTATGTGTGTACACCCATAAATGTGGGTATGTATGTGGAGGTTAGAGGTCAACATTAGGCATCGCCCTCAATCACTCTTTACCTTGTTTTTTGACACAAGGTCTTTCTCTGAATTTGGAGCTCGCTGATTTGGTTGGACTGGCTGGATTGCAAGCCCCAGGGATCACCCTGTCTCTACTTCTCCAGTCCTCAGTCCTCATAATGGCTTTTTTTTTTTTTTTTGGTCTTTTTGAGACAGGGTCTCCCTATAGCCCCAGCTGTCCTGGAACTCATTATGTAGACCAGGCTGGCCTTGAACTCACAGAGATCTGCCTGCCTCTGCCTCCCAAGTGCTGGGATTAAAGGTGTGTGCCACCCCACCTGACCATAATGGTTTTTTTATATGGGCTCTGGAGAATCAAACTTAGGTTTCCATGCTCACATCACTCACACTTTACTAACTCAGCCATTTCCTCAGCCCTGGTTTGAGAACTTTCATGTGTTGGTAAATTCCTGGAATGTCAAACAGTATAATTTATCCCTTACTGACCCATTGAGCTTTGACATAGTCATAGAGTAAGGGGTCATAAGAATTTGAATGGTTTTCATTTGAAAGCCTCTCCTCTTGTGCAATTAATACTATGACATATTTCCAAAGAAATTACTATTCCCTAAAGTACCCAATTCTGCTACTGTTCAAGAGCTATTGATTCTCTGCTCTGAAAGAGGAACTGATGTTAACAGGATGAACAGGGCCTTCTATTGCTGAGAAATCAAGAGATAAGAACTGCCACCCTGAAAAGAGAAATCGGTGCCAATTAAGAATGTTTGTGATGTCTCAGGAAAAAAATATGACTGAGTTGAGTGTGTTTTAAAAGCAGGAGCAGCTGGTTTGGGGTATAGCTCAGTGGTGAACTTGCCTGACATCCATGAGGTCCTAGATTCAAACCCTAGCACCATAAGAATGAAAAAGGACCACACAAATACAACATGTGAAGCATCCCACATACAGATTCAGGTGCCAATCTGCCTTTGAGTATTGTTAATTTTCTATCACAATCTGAATTCATATTGCTCAGATCTTAACAAATGTCTGTTGGGTTGAATTAGTGGTGGTTTGGTGGTCAAGCCAGCATATTTAGGCTCAGTTCTTCTCATCCATGTATCACCTCTCATTATCCCTTACATATAATTGCTGAAATATAGAACATCGGTTATGTTCTGTGTTAAGTTCACTTATCTCTGGGTATAAGGGAAAGAACACTGAGCTAGGAGTTGGGAGACCTCAGACAAATCCTGACTGTACCTTTGCTAGTGAGTGGCTCTAGACAAGTCAGATATTTTCTTGATATTTTAGCGTAATTTTCTCTCTCAGAAGTCTGAATAGCAGAGATTCATCTTATGATGCATATATCCCAGGAGAAAAAGTGGAGCACATCATTTCTTCCTCCCTTCTTCCTCACAGTGGCACCATGGCATCCTGTGACCTGAAGAGGAAGGACATCACCTTTACTGATGAAGGGAAAAGAGCTGAGAGGGAGTTGGGAACTTCTGTGCAGTGACTATATATATAGAACATTAAATTCTCTTGACTTAGAAATGCCAATATGGTGGCTGTACAGTAGGTAAGAAACCAAACAAACAGCCCTCATCCAACAGAAGCCAGGAAAACTATGGAAAATGATCTTGAAAAAACAAAACCCAAAATTAATAGCTAAAAGACTCTGATGATTGACAATATATTTCATATATCATATGCAAAAGGAGTGACTTAAATGTATATTTAAAGATACTTGGGAAACCTGAGAAAGGGATCAACTAGGGTTTACCTCTAAGTACTACATGTTGTTTTTGCTCATTTTCCTAAGGAACGCCACTCTGTAACAGGCAAAGAGAAATTTGAACCAATTTCACTTAGAATTACGTTTTTATGCTTTATGTCTGCAGAAGAAATGAATAAAACATAGATTTAAAGTTTGGTTCTCCATAAAAAAAAGGTTTTTTTTTCTGAATAAGGGTGAAGAAACCCTGTTGAATTTAGTGAGATGCATACTATATCCTTGGACAACAGTGAAAAACTAATCAGAATGTTTGATTCTGTGACTGTGCAGTAATTAGGAAGAGTAGACATGCTATGAACAAGTATCAAGACTCATAGAAGTAACCATTTATCTTCATAATAACCCTTTAAAGACAGATATAGTAATCTCATTAACAAATGAGAAAATTAAGGGTCAGAAGGTTACAGAATTCACCCAAAGTCATAGAATTGGTAGCAGAGACTAGGATTCAAATTGTGGTTGATTTGAATTTTTTACCCTACTCTGCTATGTTGCCCCTTACCGGAACTTCATGGTAATAATAATAATAAATAATGCCACTTATATGGAGGAACTTTTGTATTAAGTACCAGGTGCTGTGCTGAGAGATTTAAATGCATGATTCCACTTAATTATCACCACAGACCTATAAGGAAGAAGCTATTTCTATTGTTGAGATAGAGAACCTGAGATTTGGAGAACGTAAGGGCTCCACAAGGCCCCTCCCTTCCCTCAGACACAGAGTTGCCAGAGGAGCCAGGGCGCTCTTCATTTTCTAGTGTGGCTTAGAGAACCTGTGGTCTGATTTGCAGGGCAGCAGGTTGCTCCCCTCCTAAGATTCCTCAGCAGGAGGAAGGAGCCCCGCCTTGGCTTGGCCTGTGCACAGATCCAGTCATTTTGTCATTTGGGACCGGTGATGCTTTTCCCAAGTTGCTTGGTTGAGAAGTCCCTAAGATCCCCTTCATGCTTCTCTTTTACAGGCACTTGCTTTTATTGTCAGACCACTGCTGAGTGTTAATACCCAAAACACTGATAGCAGCTTGGAGGTGCTGGAATTGAGGAGAAATGTTCGTGAAATTGAGACCCAGTGCCCAAAAGGCTTATATCGTGGGGGCCAGTTCTGCTGTTTACCTTGTCAACCTGGTAAGTTATACGAAGCATCCAGGGATGAGCATGAGGAGCAGGGTGAGAGGTCATACGGAGTAAGACTATGTTGGCCATTTTTATAATTTTGTCTGTCCTATAGTGCATAGTATTACTAAGAAGAAAACTATAAAATTATTCTCCAAAGACAGTTTTTATTTATCTTTCTCCTACTTGTGTGCTTATGAATAAATATAATTTACAAATTACATGCATGTCTGGAATGAGAAGTTTCATATATTTACCTCCATTTCTTATTGGCTAATGAGGACTTGTTTGTGAGTACTAAAAGCCTATCATTTCAAAATTGACTAGGGTGCATCTTACTCATAGTGGGCTCTCACAGCAAGGGACTTCTACCCATAGGGATGTCTCAGCTCCTCTCTTCAGTCAGTCTCTGAGAAAGCTTTGGCCTGGCACTGAAGCCTGCAAGATCCATTTGCATTTTGCAGCAGAGTAACCAGTGAACTAGAAAATCAATGGGCAGAAACCTACAGTTTTTCACAAATTAGCATTTTAATAAATTAGGGGTTGGAAATCTTTCAAAAGCTAGCAAATGTGATGTTAAGGAAAATGTAATTGTGAAGTCTTTCTTATTTTCTGACTTGGAGTTGACCACAGTCACATACAAGTACAGACCTGTCTCAGCTGCATCGTGAAGAGGACAAGGTAAATGATAACACATAGGTTAATTTGAGAATTTCTGCAATGAATTAGTAGAACTCTCAAAGACTGCAGGTTTCATAGTTGAGTTCTCAGGCTTGCTGCTCTCAAAGTGTTAACCAGGCTTAGGTCATGAATATGCAAAGGATGCAACGGTCTCAGTGGGCCTCCCTCATGTTCAGATTTTGATAAGCTTTAGAGAACATTCTTCCTTTAATACAACCCATTTATACTTGAACCCCTCCACATTTGCCCTTTTCCAAACAGGAACAGAGAATTGTCTCTGAGCTTTATTTTTTTAACAACTTGCTAGATTTTGGCCTATGCATTGAAATATATGTTCATAGTCTGAAATGTTTTGTTTATACATTTAAAATGAAAGCTAAAGCCAAGATGATACATTCCGCATATGAAATGGTCAAAGATTTCATTCTGTGTGCCTTTGTTTTCATTTGATCCTGTTGTCATTTAAAAGGAGATCTCAGCCTGATGTTTACTTATGAGAAGAAATATGGTACCATTGTGGGAATGTAAAAGGTACAAACTTTTAAGAAAGAATTTGGATGGACATGGGTCAAAAACCTGAAAATGTTTATACTCACTGACATAGTAATTAATCAGCTTATAGGAAAACTCCGTAAGAAATAACAAAAAAAAGAGAAAAATGTTGTGCACTTGATATTTCATTTTGATACTCCAAAATATGGGATTGCACGTGTGTGCACATGGATTCTGGAGTAATCAAAGGCTGGAATGGCATGTATGAATTAAAGTCAAAGTGCATGAACATTTCTGACATCGGTTGTATAGACGCCCTTTAGTGGCTGCCAAATGGCTTGCTGGCCATATTAAATGTACTTCTCTGCCCGCCTTTATTATCTTGTGTTGAAGTTTAGGCTTGTCAACATGAAAGTTGGTTACAACTCTGTGTATAGGACTGATGTTACGGTACTAACATACAATTTAATTCATGACTGATAAGTCAAGTAAATTTCAAATACTGGGAAATGATAACTCTGGTTTCAAGGAAAACTAGGCTGAATATTTTGGAAAAATTTCAGCCATTCACATTGACTATCGGTATGTTGAAGCTTTCTGTTCATCAGCAAAGAAGGAAAGGAGGGAGAGAGTGGTGAAGGGAGGGAGGGAAGCCCACCAGGAAGTCATAGGTGATGCATTATGGATGTCACTTAAGTAAAAATAATGCATAACTATCTCTATGTCAAATGATTGGCCAACACTTATATAGCAATGCTTTATAAATTAAAATAAAATGCAATACTTTTCAATGATTTGTTATGTGAACTGACATTTTTGATTGATCAAAATATACTTCATACATGTATGGAATTTTCAAAGAATAAATAATTAAAATAAAGGCCTTGCCACATTTTGATATACAATAGTGTATTTCATATACATCTTATACATATGTACACATATCTGTTGCCTACAGACTCATGTGTCTACATCTATGTGTGTGTGTGGTGTGTGTGTGTGCGTGTGTGTGTGTGTACTCATATATAGAGTGCAATAAAATAACAGACAATAAATATCTCAAGATAGTTGGCATACTTTCCTATCTTTTCCAAATTTTCTTCAATAAGTATATCTGTTGTCATAAAAAATGTATTTTAAAATCTTATCCCTTTTCATATCTGAGTAGATTGTGTACTTTGAAGGAAAGAAAGAATCTGTGACTAATTGTATCCATATTAAGTGAGGCACATTCTGCAAGCTAGTTCTTTAAATCTTTCAGTTCATTTAGAAACCAGCATAATATCATTAAGGAGAAATATAATCCCTCTTTTGCTCTATTCTGTGTAAAATATAGCTCATGTACTGTATTTGAATTCTGTTCTAGATTTTCGTGTTTTTTTTAAATAGACTGTTGTCCTTGTTTACTAAAAGCTCATGAAAGATCATCTATACTTTCATTTAATCATTGGCTTATATAGTAAATATTTTGTTTGATCAGCAAAAATGTTATGAGGTTATTAAACAAGTCATGTACCAGGAAGCACAGCAAAAATTACATTTGCTGTATGCTCAGATGGACCAGATTTGACTTCATGTGACCTTTAAATTTAGTTACACCATTAGTGACTAGAGTTGCTAGTGGTACTTTTCTGCAACACGTCCCCACGTTTTGAATACCTTTCCTAGTCATTCTCTATCCGTGGACACTAATTTACTCACTGCACTTCCCACTCCCCAGCCACATATTTGTTTGTGTGTGTGTGTGTGTGTGTGTGTGTGTGCGTGTGTGTGTGTGTGTGTGTGTGCACGCGCATGCCTGAGGTGAAGGCTTCAAAAAAGCTTTATTATTTCCTGCAGTGTTTCCAGCACCCAGAAATTCCTTAGCACACAATAGGCATTGAGTAAATACTTGTTAAATGTGTGATTCTTCCAGAACATATTGTTCTATAATACTTAATCAAAGTAATATAGTAAGTTGAACTTCAACTTTAGTAAGTTGAAGTAGTGACAAACATAACTTCAAATTTTTTTCTCTTAATAATAAACTGTATAATATGCTTTGTTGCAAATGTCTGCACTTATTCAGAGAATGTACTTTGCTCCTGAATGGAAAAGAAATAGAAGAGGGAGAGAAGGAACATTTGCTTGGAAGTGTGTGCACAGTTCTGATAGTAACAATAGAGAAATGTGACCTTCATCATTTTGTTTTATCTTTTTTGAGACAGGAGCTCCCTGTAGCCCCAGCTGTCCTGGAACTCACTATATAGACCAGGCTGGCCTTGAACTCACAGAGATCTGCTTGCCTCTGCCTCCCGAGTGCTGGGACTAAAGGCGTGCACCACCACGCCCAGTGTGATCATCATCATTTATGTGATGAGAATTTAGGCTTACAGAGACTAAGTGCTCTGAGGTTTCATTCTAACTGTCCCTTTTCCATATGTTCCTGTTGCTAATTATCTTATTTTTATAGGAATATTCTTCACTCATTCTTTTGCCCTTTGTTTTGGAAATCTTCCTTGTACTTGATATGTTTTCCCATAACCTTCTTCCCTGTTGTCTTTGTACACAATTAGCCTAACACCTCTCCCCTGATTTAAGACTGTTTCATTATCATCCATGAATACTTCCCATGCTGTTACATGGCCACACACACCTTCAAATATTCACTTTTTTTTTCTTTCTTCATGACAGGTGAAAAAAAAAGTTCAGACTGTACCAGCGACAGGGCTAAACCAGACTGCAGCCCCTGCACGGAAGGGGAGGAGTACACAGACAAGGAACATTATTCTGATACGTGCAGAAGATGTAGACTTTGTGATGGAGGGCATGGTGCGTATCGTAGATAGCAATTTAAAAAAGCTGATTCTTGTACTTCATGCAGAACCATTTATGGCACAAATTCAGATTGGAATTTATCATGCATGAAGGAAGAAGCAGAATGGGGCTGGCTGGGAAATACAAGACCGAGCATTGAACTAATAACCACTTTCGTGGATTTTCTCAACAAGTCTCCCAAATGGAAGCAAAGGATGAAATAACCTTATGGGTGGGAGTACCATCAAAGCCACAGAAGTTGGTTTTTCCCTGCCTTGATTTATGCTTGTGTTGTTGTTCTTGTTCATGGTCATACAGAGGAAGCCAAGATCTGGGCAAGATGTTCCCTCATCTTTGGTGATCTATTCTGTCCTCATCATTCCACTTGGGACCAGAATTTTCATGAGTATCTCAATCTAATCCAAAGGCCCAGATGAAAAATTATCAGAATATCTTCATTTTTATTTGATGTCAAGAAACCTCTGGGCATAAAACTTTTCTTGTCACTATTCAGTCTACGAAGAAGTTATTCTTCACCCTGGTGTACCTCAGAGTGGCAAAAGGAGCTGTTGAAAACACCTGCGGTTAAGTTTCAGCTCACAACAATTAAATCAGAATCTCCAAGTGGAACCTTGACATTTGTCTGATTAAGCCCAGTAAGGGCTTATCGTGTAACATGCCAACAAGCAGAGAGTAGTAATGATGCTGCTGGTCTGTAGGGCTCACATTGAAGGGGCAAGGCTCTAAATTAAAGGAACAGTGGAGCCATCTAAGCACCGTTGGGGGTTATCTTGCTTTCTGGATTGTCTGTTCATTTCACGCTTCGCTAAATGGTTGCCAGTCATTTCAACCCCTTTTGCTAGTAAGCACTGGTTGTGTTATTAAATGTGTGTTATTAAATGGCAGTTGATAATAAGCAGTAGATCTCAAACATCCATGCAGCCCTTGCATTATTTTCATAGTTCATTTATAACTAGCTGCTGTAATTGAAACTTTATAAACTGATTTTCTAGGTTTAGAAGTGGAAGCAAACTGTACCCAAACCCGGAACACCAAATGCAGGTGTAAATCAAACTTCTACTGTAACACATCTGTATGTGAACACTGTGAGCACTGCACCACGTGAGTTTCAGTCTTTCAGTAGTTAAAACACTAGCCATACTTTAAGAGATGCTATCTTCCTTGAGAAGAGCCACACTAGGTGAGAGTCAGGAATTGGAGTTCTGCTCTTGTTTCCGGTCAAAGCAGCTGGGTGACCATTTGCTCAGTGGTCAGCAGTATATACCAAATATCACTGAGCACTTTCCTGTTTCTGAGCATTACTGAAAACTTCCTGTGTGCTGCTTAAGTTAGTGATGTGAGCCAGACATATTAGTGCTATCAAGGTTTGGGTTCTAGAGGCAAAGTCAGCCAAAAATCCAGTAATTATTGCATTGTAACACCTTGTAACAAGCATAGCACATCTTTGCTCAGAGTGTTGCAAGTTATGTAGGAACACCTTCCAATCTTGCCTGAAAAGAGCAGAGACTTGAGTCTTGAGGAAGGTAAGAAAGAACATTAACTGGTGAACATGGGTAGAAAGCATGTTCAGGCAGTAGAGGAACAGCCAGAAAGGGTTAGAAGAAAGCCGGAGAGATGACTCAGCAGTTAAGAGCACTGACTGCTCTTTCAGAGGACTGGGGTTCAATTCCCAGCACCCATACATGGTGGCTAACAAAGGTCTGTAACTCCAGTTCCAGGGAAATTCATTGCCTTCTGACCAGAGTTAGAAGAGAGCCAAGCATGGTGGCATACGCCTTTAATCCCAGCACTCAGGAGGTAGAGGCAGGCAGATCTCTGTGAGTTCAAGGTCAGGCTGGTCTACATACTGAGCTCCTGCCAGCTGGGGCTACAGGAAGTCCCTGTCTCAAAAAGACGCCCCCCCCCAACATGCACCTCATGTCTGTTCAGACTGCCACTTACTGGGGCTCTGAGTGCTTCCTGGAGCAGCATCCTGGCCAGTGGCTATCTTTAAGCTTTTATTTTTTTTTAAAGACAGGGTCTCCCATAGCCCCAGCTGGCCTGGAACTCACTATGTAGACAAAGCTGGCCTCGATCTCGCAGAGATTTGTCTGCCTCTGCCTCCCAAGTGCTGGGATTAAAGACGTGTGCTACCATGCTTGGCATCTCAAGCTATTTTAATGTTTTATGAGACTTTAAAAAAATTGATCTCAATAGATCATTTAAAAATAGTTTATTTGGGGGGCTAAAGAGATGATTCAGCATTTAAGAACACTGGTTGCTCTTGAAGAAAACCCAGGTTTGATTCCCAGTACACACAAGGTGGCTAACAATCATCTGTAACTCCAATTCAGGGGATCAGACTCCCTTTTCTGACCTCCACAGGCACCACACAACACAGATGCACTTACATACATGCACTTGCATACACTCATACACATAAAATAAAAAAATTAAAAATAGCTTACTTTAAGCTCTGATATTAAAAATATTTATTTAAATAATGTGTGTATGTGTGTGTCCATGCATGTGTAAATGTAGGTGTCTACGAAGGCCAGAAGAGGGCTGTAAATCCCCTGGAATTGAAGTTACAGGTAGTTGGAATTTGTCTGACATGTGTGCTGAAAACCAAACTTTAGTCTTCTGAAAGAGCAATACGTGCTCTTGACCACTGCCTCACCTCCACAACCCCCGTATCTTAAATTATCTGTGTGTGTGATTGTTTTATTTATATTTTATGTGCCTGAGTGTTTTACCTGAGTGTATGTACATGCACCACATGTTTGCATTACCCATGGAGGCCCTAAGAGAGAATTATATCCTTTGAAATTGGAGTTACAGATGATTGTGAACTGCCATTTGGGTGCTGGGGACCAAACCTGGGTTATCTGGAAGAGTAGAAAGTGTTCTTAGGTGCTGAGTCATCTCTCTAGCCTGCAGTACACGCTCTTAACTGCTGGACCATTTTGCCAACCCCCAAGCTCTAGTATTTTAGAAGTTTGGTTAATTACCAGATTTAAGCTTATTTTTGTGTCTATTTAATCTTCTACCTTGTATATCAATAATTTATTAATTTCTCTAACTCATAATGTCTTTGTTTTTAAATTTTTATTTGTGTGTGTGTGTGTGTATGTGTGTGTGTGTGTATACAGTGCCTGTAGAGGCCAGAAGAAGGCGTCAGACCATGTGGAGCTGGAGTTACAGGTGGCTCTGAGGCACATAACATGTGTGCCAGGAACTGAACTTGGCTCTTCTGCAAGAGCAGTACTCACTCTTAACTGCTGAGCCATCTCTCTAGCCCTTGTATATTAAAGCACAGAGTCACTCCTTTAACATTTTCCATCCAAACTTCCAAATTGCCATTATTAGTTAGTACTAGATTTAGATAGTGATATAGAAATATCTGAGAGAAAACAATCACTAGAGATGCAAAATAGGTAAATGGAACCTAATTTATAGTGAACCATTGAAAAATAATGAAGAGATCTATCCAGGCTTTCTGAATCGCCTCTGCCTTTTTCCCTAGGTGTGAACATGGAATCCTTGAGCCGTGCACACCAACCAGCAATGCCAAATGCAAGCAAAACAGTAATTGATCATTTTTTTATGATTAAATTCCTCCCATCCCCATCCTCACATGGAAACAAAAGCTCACTGATTTATTTTTTATTGGGAGTATGTACTTTGCTTCATCTTAAAAAAATGCTTATTTTCGTATGTAATCTCCAATGTTCCCACTGCAGGCTCCAGGCATCATTGGCTGTGGTTGTTGGTCCTCCTACCTCTACTTCTGGCAATATCAGTGGGTGAGTCCTTAATTTGTTCACGCTGCAGATGGAAATGACACGGAATAGTTGCTCTGCCCATTGAGAATCTCAGATAGCCAGGGCCTGTGTAGAACAGTGCTGCAGTGGACTCCTCATAAACTTGGCCCTCCCTGTACCTGCCCTCCCGTAACTAAATCCTATGTTTATTTTTCATGCTTATTTTAATACTTAATTTTTATGTTTATGTATTTTTAAATTACTTTTTTATTACTCCTTGCCTTCAAGTTAAAATATGACAAATTGTTTTATTCAAGGATTACTTTATAAGCTAGTAGCTAAGAGAAAATGGGAACAATCATAATTATTCTAGAAAACACCTCTAAGTCAAGCAGTCATAAAGTACAGGTTGCCCCAAATTTCAGTAGCTCATAAACATTCAGTTTTTCCCTCTGTATTGGAAAAAGTCATTGTTTCTTCAGTTCGTTTTTCTTAGTGTGAAAACTTCCTGCCAGGCTGATATTTGAGTCTGATGAAGTTTCTTTGATCTTTCAGTGCTAATACTTAAAAAGCACAGGAGAAGAAATCATGGTCACCTTGAATCTGTGGTATTGCATTCTGTAAGTGTTTAAATGTTCATCAGCTTTCTTTAAAAAAAAAAAACTAATCAGATAAAATAGTAATTTAATTAAATTTTAATTTAAGAAAGTGACACTTTATTTTAAACAAATGTGTATATGTACATGCATGGTTGGAGCAACATCAGATGTGAATTAAGACATGGCAGCTAATTTATGTTTACACGCAAACACTGTAAGAAACAACAAAGGGGGTGGCAGTGACACGGAAAGGGTGTAGATGGGAGCTGGAGAAAGGATGTACAGAGCACCATTTCACATCCGTGTTTTCCCTGCAAAGATGCCCTTTACTGAAGCATGGATTCAGTATCCAAAACCCAGCAAAGGCTTTGCTCTTCAAATCCATTTAAATATCACAGTTCAAATCTGCCCAGCCAATTACTCAGCCAATTCTCTGCTTGTTTCTAACATGAGAAAGCAGCATGTCAAATAGTGAAAACAAAACAAAACAAAACAAAAAGCACTGGGGGAAGACACCAGTGCCAGTTAATTGGATAGTGATCTTATTATGTGAGACTAAGGTTCAGAGGGAATTAGAGCACTTTGAATTGAGTGGCACAAAGGATTTTCAAACTGAACCAAACTCTGGTCTAAAAAATAAGAATAGCTATAGTTCAAATATTTTAGAATGATTTAAGTATTTTAATGTCTATATGAAAAACAAATCCAGCTTATTCCATGAATTCTTTAGATTCCTCTCCTTTGGAGGGAAGGAGGGAGGAAGGGAGGGAGGGGGATTCTGTCTCAGAAAGACCGAGAGAGAGAGAGAGAGAGAGAGAGAGAGAGAGAGAGAGAGAGAGAGAATATTGTTTGGTTTCTGGTGGGGATGGGACCTTTCAGAATCAAACCTGAATGATTGTAAAGGCTCTTCTTAAACTCAAAGTCCAGTTTCCTAATTTTATATCAAGCGGCTTATTGTATAACACTTCCTTCAGAATTAATAAAGACTTAGGTGACATTTTATACATTTATCTCTGCCTTCTCTTTCCCCCTCCAGGAAAAAGCTCCAATGAATTGCTCAGGTGAGGCTTTTGTTATTTTATTTCATAGAAAAGTCGTCCTTTGTTGGCATAGGTCTAAATGGGAACAGACTCTAAAATTTTAAAGTAATATTACAGATTTCAGTGACATTATAGACTTTGTTGCTCTTTGAGCTGTTAGTTCTTCTATAAAGAGTTAAATTTCTAACACCCTTCTTAAAAGATAAACTAGGAGTCGGGTGTGATGGCACATACCTTTAATCCCAGCACTTGGGAGGCAGAGGCCAGCTGAGTTCAAGGCCAGCCTGGTCTACATAGCGAGTTCCAGGCCAGCTGGGGCTACAAAAAAAAAAAAAAAAAAAGAAAGAAAAAAAGAAAAGATAAACTAGGTACCAATAGGACAGTATATTATTATGAGAGATTAAAGAAAACTTTTCTTCATAATCAGATATATCACAGAACTCCTATGCAAACTGACTTGGAAGTTAAACTGGAACTTCAAACCAAGTTATGGATGTACTCAATGCCGTAACAATATGTGATTCTATTTGGCCCTACCTTTGACCCGTGACTCAGAGATAAGATGATCCTAAACTCTTGGCTTGTCCTTCTGTGTTCATGGGTGTGGTCATCAGGTCTATAAGGGACAGTAGAAGTGATTTTTTAAGCCTCTTGTCTCAATGATGATATAGGAAAATATAAAGATATGTGTCATGCCCAGCTTAGAGAATGAATTATAGGAAACACAGAAAGAGCTGGAGGTACAATTCAAGGTTATTCTGTTTGGGCCTATAGGACTTTCCTATATTCTTAAAACATAAGGGGAAAAAATAAACACTATTTAACTAAGGGGAATTTCAATTAGAAAAATTTTCAGAGACTATTTTTTTTGTTTTCAGATGTTGACTTGGGTAAATACATCATTAATATTGCTGAAGAAATGACAATAAATCAAGTTAAAAAGTTTGTTCGGAAGAATGGCCTCAATGAAGCTAAGATAGATGACATCAAGAATGACAATCTCCAAGACACAGGTGAACAGAAGGTCCAGCTACTGCGGGATTGGTATCAAGCTCATGGGAAGAAGGATGCATATAACACTTTAATTAAAGGCCTCAAAAAGGCTAACCTTTGTGCTCTTGCAGAGAAAATTGAAGACATAGTCCACATGGACATTGAAAAATCAACTTTAAATGTCAGAAGCGAAAATGAAAGACAAAACTTGACCTTAAATGAAATTGAGCTCAGTTCGAACTGTGACTAGCCAGTCAGTAAAGAGAAGTCTTTTAAACTGAGCCTGGCTGCTCATGCGTGAGGCAGGAGGATTGCCATGAGTTCAAGGCCAGCCTGTGCTACATGGAGCTCCAGAGTTCCATGGTAGTCTGAGTCACAGAGTGAGATGTTGTCTCAAAAATAAATGATTTCCATGTGAATTTATTTAAGAATTAAGCAAGATGATGCTTTATAAAAAACCCAGTATACATAGCTGCTAAGAAGATTAAAGAAAAATGGTATACAGTGCTAATTATAGCACTGGGCACAAAGAAAGTGTTCAATTTATGTAGGCTGCATTGACTGAAGTATTGCATTTGACAATAATTCATACAAGCTCTTTAAAAATCTGTAATCTATGCTAATCAATTCTGTGTTTATTAGAATTTGTATTTTCTAAGCTTAATGGATCACTGTTATATGACTGTGTTACCTTTGTTTTGTATCAGCAAATAAAAACAAGATTAGCATCAAAAAATAAAATAAATATTTAAATAAATAAATAGCAGGACATATCACCCTAAGATTTTAGTCCCAGCTCTTGGGAGACAGAGGCAGGGAGACCTCTGGCAGTGTGAGCCCAGGTTGGTCTACAGAGCAAGTTCCACATCACTCAGGGCTACATAGTGAGACCCTGTTTCAAAGCAAGCCAGGTGTGTGGCACATGCCTTTAGTCCTAGCACTAGGGAGGCAGAGGCAAGCAGATCTCTGAGACTGAGGCCTGTTCTACCTAACCTGTCCCAAGCCAGCTGAGGCTACAGGGAGACTTTGTCTCCAAAAGACTAAAAACAAACAAACAACAATATCAAAAAGAAGTTTTTAATAATTGAAGTCTGTAAATATTGATCTGCTTTATACTGTGTATATTTTGTATTTCATTTTTCAGATTTGTAAAGCTATTGTATTTATAAGTTTGGAAGGTTTCATGATTCTGTCTTCGGTAATATTTAGGTAGGAAGACAGGGTCATGAACAAATGCAGTGACAGGCTAAGTGCCCAGATAGGAGTGTACATAGAAACAGACACACGTAGGATACTGATCTCCTGTCTAAGGCAGCTAGGATAAGAGCAGCGTGGGCTAGCACCAAGGTCAGTCTATCCATAGGTACCCTCTTCCTTGTCGTGGAAGCTGTGACCTTTGGTAGAGGCTGCTTTACCTTGTTATTATCCTCCTCTGAACTCCATGATTCTGGAGATTTTTCCCATATATGTAAATGTTGCTTTCCACCCACATGCAGTTTCCATATGTGTTTAAATGCTGAATGAAATACAAGTTTCTGCCTCAAAGAATTTTGTACAGGCCATTGGTATTTTATTGTATAATATTTATGTTTTGAAAAGGTGTAGAAAATGTAGGTTAAATCATAATGCTTGAATATGTTTCTATTTATATACCATTTTATCGGACCAAAATATTTTGCTATTTTTTTCAGGTATCAAAAGCATTTTGAGTAGGAGAGTGTTAGTTACTACAGCCGTGCCACTGCTCCATTTCCTCCTTGTTGTTCAACTCATGCACTCCTAAAGCAGGAAATAGACCCAAAGAAACACTTAATGATGCCACAATACTCAGAATTGCCTTGGAAAATCTAGCCTGGTCTGGAGAGACTAGATTGTTTTTATAGGAGATAGCTTCAGGACATGTCAAGAGCCCATATCTACCACCAGTGGTGGGGACAAAATGAAACCCTGTCGTACTGCCATTTGGCAACTCTCCATGTGTTTCTTTGGCTACAAATGGCAGCTTCTATTCAGTAAAGGTGAAGTCACCAACAGGTTCTAGAAACTGCTTTTATTATTCTCTGTAGGTTCTAAGACAGACAAGCTCTTCTTTCTACTATTATTTTTACATTCAAACCTATCTGAAAGTTTGTGTCAAATGTAAGTTCTAATATGTAGTATTTGTTTTACACATGTATACTGTGAACTAAGGATAGTTATAAACAGAAACAAGTGCTTGGAACTACCTAAAGAGCTTCCATTTTTAGAAATGGAAATACGTAATATAGGAGAAATATTTAATTAAAATCAGGAGTCAGATGATGACATGGGATTTGACTTGTTTATTGAACCCTTGCTCCCCTGCAAATTAAGCCTTTTTATGTAAAAAGTAAATAAGTAAATAAAATAAAATCCTTGTCATTTTTAGTGCTCTCTGTTTTGGTGGGAGCTGGTCATTTGTTTTCTTTGCTTTCCTTTTCTCTAATGGCAACTAACTGTAGTCTATCTAGTCAATGAATCCTTACAGCTTTCTTTGACCTTCTTAGGAGGCAAGTCATTTGTGAAGTCTTTTATTATTATTTTTCATTCTTTTAAAACTTTTTTAGGATCTCATACAGTAGTATGTATTTACATTTGCACTCTCTTCCTATGCCCCTCAACTCTCTCATTTAGTGACTTTTTCTTTCATTGTTGTTACATATACAAGCGTGTGTATACATACATACACTTATACACAAATTACGTAGTCCATTTAGTGGTGCATATGTACATGTGTTTAGGACTCAATACTTGAGATTGGATAAACTATCAGAGATAGTGAAATAATTATTCCCATGAGTTGTTACTGCCAAAGATATTTCTTCCAAATGGTACATGATCATTTGTTAAGCAGGATTCTTTTAGAGACACTAAAATATTGAAAACAAAGGACAAATGTAAAGGGGGAAGTTTTATTGTTAAGAAAGCTAAAAGGTGGAATTTGAAATACTCTATTCTAGCTACTTGGTAAC